CCCCCCCCCAGACCAGCCGCCCCCCCTAAGGCCCCCCCCCCCCCCGGTCTTTCTACATCCCTCCTAGTTCCAGTTCTCTCCCACATACCTTTCTTTTGTGGCTACCCAGAGGGCCAGAGAATACCTGGATAATGGCTGACCTGTGGCATGGTACTGTGCTAGGAAGTCAGAGAGACTCACGTTCAATCTCCCCTGGCTGACAGGTCCAGAGCCTCCAACATCCCAGGTGAGTGCCCCAGTCCCAAGCACCTTGGGGGAAAAGGCAAATAGTCGCTTTCCCTCATTCTGTTGCCAGAGCCCCTGGCCAGTCTGGGCAGATCCATAGCTGTCTAGGTGTATAGAGTGGTATGTACACAATAGCATGCCGACCTATGCATACATGTTTCTAGGGGGATTTGCATGTCCAAAATGCCATGTAGATAACCAAATTGGGATGCCAAGGTGTCTAGAAAAGAACAGAATGCCCCTTGGTGTTTAGTATCATTTTTTTGCCTGTTGGAGTTCAGATACAGTGATAATTTATGGGGTGCTGATTCATCTGTCTGTGGAAGCCAGAGCTGCTTAGCACCTCTGAGAGTTTGGCATGCAGAAGGTCACCGAAGAGGCAGCTGGCAGGGAGCTATCCCCTTAGGAGGGCAGGAGACTACAGTTCCTTACTACCAGGAGGGAAGGTGAAAAGTCCCAGCTCCCTTTGCTCCTCTGCATGGCCTGCTAGCTGAAGCTGAAGAGAGTGTGAGATGTACATGATAGTTGTAAATTAGGACACCAGATGTGGATATTCTCTGAACGTGAATCATGGACTCTGTGTCCATCCTGCCTGAAGGCAGGGAAAAAAGACAAGCAGAAGGGCTGACTCCCTTCGTCTCAGAGCCTGGTGACACAGCTGTTGGTGCTGCTGCTCAGCTCACTGCTAGAAACGGCCACTGCCCCTTAGTGCTTCCCTGTAGTTATGCTCCCCATAGAAGCTACAAATAAATAAGCTAGTTAAGGGCCTGGTAACTATCTAGAAGTGGTGATTTCCTGTCTGACAGTGATCCCTTCCAATAAACACATGCATGGCCACAGCATTGTGGAAATGACACCTGCAATATGCTGGCTTAGAGGACACGAACTTCAGTAAAATAAACCAGTTTGTCTTTTGTTGTGTTGTGCAATCATATGCTACACTGCTCTATGCTGCCAGCTCCAAATCAATTCCGAGTGCTTCTGTTTCGTTAAAATGCCTCTTATGGTTAAATTAGTGCTGTGGAAAAATAGCATCAGAAAGGGCTCCAGGGGACAGATTAGAGGTTCTGTTCCACTCAGAAGCCATCTGTGTCATAGGAAAGTTATTTTTCCACACACATACAAAATAAAGCCATACAAGAAATCTTCCTTTTGTAGCTGAAACCATCTCATATTTTTCCTCCTTTTTTGATATGTTAATTTCCCTTTCTTCACGCTGCTGTCTAATCCCTATGGACAGGTGCTGAAATCAATTCTTTTAGCTGCATTGCACTTTTGGTTCACCTCACAGTTTCACTGTGTCACAAAGTCCAGCATGGGACCTGAGGTTTGAACATGGCTCAAGGTTTGGGGCTGGATCTGGCTTCCAGACAGAATTCCCAGTGGCTCCAGTGGACACATCCTCTGTAAGATCTGCAGGGCACAGACCCTGGACTGGGATTTTCCTTTGGCTCCCTCCAAAAGTCCTATATCCTAATAAAAGAAATCTTCACTCCAAGAACTGCTCCCTATGTACTGCTGGCAATAGCATAATGAAGCATTTAGTCCTGCAAGCAGGGTTGTAATCAGTTTACTAATCCAGGGAGGGCTTCCATAACTCATGTTTAGTTGGGTTGGAACTAGAATTGTATTCCATTTCAGTATTACGAAATAAGAGGAAAACAGATGTCTTGTGCCTTCTTAAAGAAACACTTGTGGGTTTTGTGTGTGCAAGCTAATAGCTGAACTCAGAGGGCCTGGCTCCACCAGCAGATGGGCATCTTCATTACAGGTTTCCAGGAGAACTAAAACCAAACCAGATAGTGAAGCTGAGCAGCACAGAGCCAAATCTACATCTTAGACATTCACAGGGCTCCTTCATCTCCAGCAGTGAGCAGCTCCCACTCTCTGGAAACTTACCTGAGAGTTTCTGTCATGTTCAGATCCACAGTGCATACTCTAAAAAGGGATCAGCAGAAAATCAATAGGGTGGAGATGCTGTGGCACTCCTATCTGTCCCTGAGTGCCTCAGAAGGGACAGTGCCTCAGACTGCATAGGGATTGTCATATACTCTTCAATGACACACTCATATACAAGTTGTTCTACTTGGCTGCCTCTCAGAATGTATGGTGCAACAGGAAGGGTATTATTACACATTACCTGTCAAAACTGTTAAGTGCTCTTGAGACAAGAGTGTCCACAGGTTAAGGGCATGAAGAAGGAAAGAGGAAAAGCAGGAGGGAAGCAAAGGGTGAGGGGGGAAGTAGACATGGATGACGGGTG